ATGTGTTTCAGAGCTTTTCCCCTCATTGTTAAAAGTGCAAAATAAGCCTGATGCAAGCATCTAGACCCTGATGGACAAGCGGGTACACCTGGCCTGACTCCTCTTTTGCAGGTGATGAAGGGTGGCCAAGAACTGTTGGTTCTATCACGTAAAGCTTTGTGTGTGTATTTAAGACCGTTTCAGACATTTTATTATTCAACAACACTCTTTTAGAAAAATACTCAGTCCAGACATAACTCCTGACAGAAATCAGCTTAGCAATGCCAGAGAAGATCCCCTCCTTGCTGCTCGCTGTTGCAGCAGAGAAGTCCCGAGTGTCCCTGGGTAGTTAGATCTCCTTCTGAGGGCTGGCCATGGCAGGACTGAACACAGAAAGCAGCTTTTGGAGGAGATGCTGCTGCTCTTGGGTGATACAGCATGGATATTCTGTCAGCTAGGAGTGCTTGGACCCAATTTACAGCTGGCAAACTTTGAAGGAATAAAATAAAACATCTTTTGTGACACTACAATGAAGCAAGATGAATTCTCTTAAAAGCCAGTGGGAAGAGAAACTCTAGGAATAGAAAGATAGGGTTGAATAAGATTTCATTCACGTCTTGCCATCTGGGAATAAGATTTGTGAGGGAATATTGTTCTTATCCTTATAAACGGCCAATATCTTCTCGAACCCAGCTAAGCTGAGGCTAGGCAAGGTTTGTGGCTCACATTAGCAGATTCTAATGACATGAGTTTACAATAATAGTCTAATAGTTCAGTGTAACAGTGACTCATAGCTTATTACTGTGGCGATAGGAATGTAAAGAGAGTCATTTGAAAAAAAACCTATTTGGATAGTTCACATCCTTTCCTCCCTACTCATGAATTCCTGTGTCATTGACTGCTGGCTGCTAAAAATAGGATCCTTTTTGTGTATCTAAAGTAAAGGAAAACCTAGAATCGTAGAGACAGTAAGAGGGGACCAAGGTCCTTACATACAGAGCCTTCAGGAAATATTTGTAATGAAAGCCCTCTGAGAGTGCAGAAATTTTTTCAGAAGATGGGAACAATCTAAGTCTAAGGAGATATTTTGCAGGAAGAAGAAGAGTTAATGAATCGCACCAGCTCCCAGCTTTGATGTTTTGCACCGTGGGGATGGGAAGATTCATCTCTCTATCAGATGTAGGACCAAGCTGCAGTTTCATTGTGGAGAAGCTGTCCCACTTCAGCAGTAGAAGAGGAAGCTTCAGGAAACAGCCCAGGAGCAGCCCTGTGGGCTGACAAGGAGCCAGAGAGGAGCCACAAGAGGGGACTCACTAGGAGTCACCTGAAGTGGTACAAATCTCTTAAGGACAGCAGTAGGAAAGGGGAACTGGGAAGACATCAGCAAGGTATCTGCGAGTTAATTGGATTCCCACCACTACCCCTTTGAAAGAAAAAAAAACCACATGGCACCTCAGAAACAAACCGCTGAAGTGTGAAATCACGCGGCAGGGAAAGCTGTCACAGAGAATCAGAAATTGATTTAATAGAGAAAAATTGACTGCTGCATAATCTGTGCAGATTGCTAGCTGAGAGAGAGAGATCCACAGCTCCTAAGGGCTTGGCTGCGGGCACCGTCTGGCGAAAGGTGCGGAAAGCAAAATTTCATAGTTGGTAATTCTACGTGTACTGAATGCTTCCTCTTCAATACCGAACAATTAAAATCGATGACGGGATGCTAGGTAACAAAAGAAAATGACTGATCAATATGCATGTCTTGGAGCTGAAGAAAAACCCGTCTGCCGAGAGCAGCATGCTGATGAGGCGAGATTTCTGAGAGCTCAGATAGAAAATCTTAAAAGCTTCCATTCCCGATGCTTGATAAAACAATGCAGCTAAGCAGATGCCAGATGCAGTGCTAGGAGAGGTTAAGTCACCAAGGAGGCTAAAGAATAACGGTTAGGAAGAACAGGAAATGTTCATTTTTAGACTAAATAGCTTTAGAGTAAAAACTGTGATGCTTCTCTTCTTTGTCTTTCCTTCTAAAGATCTAAAAGCCCTTTACTGATACTGAAAAATTATGTTCTTCGCATACCCATGTAAGGTTTTAGAAATGCTGAGAGACTGACATTTTAAGGCCAATGTCCATTTTAGTCCTCAGCTCAAAGCACTTTAAATCTCATTTCCACATATATTTCAGCTGGGGGTGTCTGCCAAGTGCTGCCAAAAATCAAACGCTAAATCTTCCACGATTCAGTAGTTTTAGATCAGTCGCCCAGATTTCTGAACACTTTCGAAAACATTGCTGTAAAGCAGGCCACAGGGTCCACCGTGGCTCCGGCAGGACGGGGAATGGCCCGTTTCATCACCTCGTGAGTTTGATTTCATTAACAAACTAGACAAGATTCATAGCGTTGAGCCCGCACATTCTCACGGGGCTTGGAGCAAGGGTTCTCCTCCTCCTCCCACCGTCTCGCCTGCCGCCTCCTCCACAGAGCCCTCCTGCTCCCTCGGCGCGGGTGAAACGAGCAGCCATCCACCTTAGGAGCCAGCAGGACCCACTGATCCTTTCACCCACAGGCTAGCACCCAGCCTGGCATGCTACTTTGCTCCTTCTCCGCGTGAACGCGTGGTAGGACTGTGAGCTGTACGAAATCTGTCCGGTCCGGGGAGAGTCTGGATGCTTGGCTGTTGAGGAAACCCTGGCACGTTCCTCCCAGCGCCTCTGTGCTTCCAGCCATCTGCCACCTGCCTCCTCACCCAGGGGGGTCTCTGCGTTTGCTAGGAAGGGGAGGCTTGAACGCGCAGCACGGAGCAGCCGTGCTGTCCTCGGGCTCAGCCCCAGACACCATGCTCGGCTGTCCCCGCTCTGCAGGGCAGCGGGAAGGCGGGTGTGAAACAGGAGGAGGAAAAAAGTTCCAAGCAACCTTTTGTAAATAAGTGTTTCACGGCCAATGCAGACCGCGTTCGTCCCCTCCTTCCAGTCCAGCCCCACCAAAACCCAACCTAAGCAAGCCTAGGAATTGGGGAATTAACCAAACCCCCTCCGCTGGCTGCCAGCCAGGAGAAACTCCAGGTGACGAAACGTTCACGCTCTGAACGGAAGGGATGCATCCCACGCAGCACGGGACAGCGGTTCACAACTGCTGGTGCACCGTGACATGCCTTTGCGGAAACCATCTTACCCCAGCTGAGATAGAGCAAACCGCTGTCCGGTGGGCACGGGCAGCCCCAACCTCTGCCACTGCGTGAGCGGCTGTATCAGCGGGAGCAGGAGGAGGGAAAGGCGCGTTGCTAAGCCGGGCTCTGCTGCAGGAACAGAAATCAGACTTTGGAACAGCTTAACACTTAAATACACCGCCAATTAATGAAACCTTTGCAGGGCAGTGCAGCTCCAGAGTGGATACAACAATATCCATTCTCCTGACTGCAGATTTCGCTACAAAATAAGCAAGTTTTCCAGGCAGGGCTTGATAGTGCTTATCAAGAAGTTGTGTCGCGTTCAAAGTCATCTCAAAATCCCGGTGGGGATCAGCCGAACCAAAAATCATTATAACGTAGCACCGAGAGAAAATTACCTTTAGAGAAATATTTGTACGCAGTGCATGTCTAGTTGTCTGGTAAAACCCCAGCAGGTCTGACAGAGGTGCTTTTTAATAAGCTCTATTAGCATGCTTTCCAGTAATGTGAACCTTGTTGGGTTTGTTTCTTTTTATTGCCTTATTAAAATATGTTTCCAGGATGCTCAAACAACATTTCCCAGCCATTTTTATGCATAATTACATTTTCTTCCCTATGCTAATTTTCTTCCAGTAAACGTGCCCACTGGACCAAGCAGTGCCTCGATCATGATAAAGCAACTCTTTTCACGTCAGCGTAACAAAGAACAGAATTTGATCCGTCAAGGGGCAATACTTCATCTCTCACCCTCCATCTCTGAAGCTTAGAACATTCTGCAGCGGTTACTGAATTTCACCAGGTAAACGCTGTCCTCCAGTAGACGAGGAAATGGCGCCGACGCTCCTGCATGGGAATGAAATACAGGACTGGGAATATTTCTTCTGGCACAAGAGGAATAACAGATAGAAGGAGCTACCACAGCTGGACCCCCTGACCCCACCCGAGTCTGAGCTACTGCCAAATACAGGCAAAAATCATTAACTGCTCAAAAACATCCAGACAGGCGAGCGGTGTAAAGCCGCACTGACAGTGATGGGATGCCAGCACTTCTGGGAGTGGGACTCTCCTGGCAGGCTGCTCCTGCCAGCGATTTCTATCTAGAATAAAGAATTCAGAGATGGTTTCCATATCATGGTGCGTATGTTCGCTCGTAGTAGCCATAGCAAAGACATTACTTCATATGCTTTATAGGGAATACTGTCCTGCAAGCGGCTTAGCGTATAGCCTCTCCTGTTGTGAAGTGCAGCTCGTCCTTGACCTCCAGAAATTCCTTCCAACCAACACTTCCGTGATTCAGTGATCCTTCGTCTTTTCCTGTGGCAGGGCCTTGGCCCGACAGCTGCTGGGTTTGTAAGTTATTTCCCTGTCTTGGACCGACTCCGAGCCAAAGGAAATAAAGCTGGCAAAATCCTCCAGACCGCTGCACTGCAGTATATCCCCTGCCGGGGCCTCTAGAAAGGATGGAGTAGGAGCTCACCAGCCAGCATCCCTGCTTGCTGGGGGCGGACAGCCCAAGCCCTGGCTCCGTCCCCTCCAGCCTGTTGGGTACCAGGGCTGAAGCTGGTCCAGGACGGCAACAGACACAGACCGCAAAGCCAAAAATGAGACCTGGAGAGGTGTGTCTTCGGACACACGTGTCTGAAGTACAATTCCTTGGTAATTTTCCTCCTGACGTGACACAACTCCACCTCTCCCTCTTCCAGACACGGCCAAAGGCCTCCACTGAGGAAGCTGTTTAGGCAAAACAAGAAAACAAAAAAGAACTAGCCCGTATTATTTCTCACTAACACTTCATTTTGAGACCTAGTATTTATTCTCCGATGCCCAAGAAGGAGATTCAGCCTGATGGATTTTAATTCTTTATTTTAAAATCTTTTCACACGTAGCAAAAGTTTGGGTTTTTTGAGGAGGAAAAAAACCACAGAATCGTTGACTATTTTCAGAATGGCTATAAAACACATATGCTTTTCCAAATATTTGTATCAGGATAGAAAGTAATATAAATATATATGTGTGTATATGTATATAAAAATAAATGATTTGGTAGTAACAGATTCAACTAGGACAGTTTCAGTGAGGGAAAGAAACAAAATGGAAAAAAATGTATCACAATTTTGTAAATCCCTTTTTTAAAGGTGTTCAAAATTTTGACCTTCCACTGAGCATGAAAGAGGGGAGGAGAACCACAATTGCCACCGAAACGTGTTTACAATAACTATTTTTTCTATCATTCATAGATGTCACACTTCATCAAGTCACTGTGACAAGACAGATATGAAAATGTCAGAAGTGCATACACTCTGTTTTTTACATAGAAGACGCTGCATGTTTAAAGCACGTATTTTATGTTTTAGGGCTGTTACCTCACTTTACCCCAAAATAATTATTTTAGCCTACAAGACAATTGTAACTGCTTGGAGGAAAACAACAGTCTGACACCAGTAATACTTGCCCGGCATCCGAGCCAGGCAGACAGAAGGGCCACGGCACAGAGAGCTGGGTGATAACGAGATCTTGCTGAAGCACCGACATCTTTCACAATTATTTGGAATATTGCATTTATCTACTGAAAGTCAGGAGATTTAGAAATTCAGCTCTTGTCTTTCCCTTGCAGAAGCAGCACTTTCCCTGTTCGGCGATCACCAGATCATCTCCTACAAAGCTGACTCTTACTATTTTTGCTGCTATTCTTTTTTCCTCATTTGCAGCACCCCAAGTCCCAAACCTCCCGTCAGGGCTCGCGCAGAAGACGCCGCACGAGGTTCAATCTGCCAAAACTCTCACTGTTTTTGGTATAGCCTCCTTAGAAGAGGGTGCAAGGGACAGAGGAAGAAAACCCACTCGTCTTATCTCCATCCCGGACCCTGGCCGTGACAGCGGGTCAGTGTGCAGCCGGTCCATCCCTGCCGTCTCTCCTCCATCCCACCCAGCAGGCAGGATCCCTCGCAGGGTGCCAGCACGGGCCATTGCCTCCCTCTAGCGTCTGCAGCGCAGCCTCCTGTGCCTGTGTTGTTATTAATTAGTTACCGGAGTCCTTTCAGCTCTCGAAACAAGAGGAATCTGGTTTGGTCCTGCGAGTAATGACCCATAATTAATGTTTATAGACACTCCAGAGTATGAGAATTCACCGAGCCCCAGGAGCGCCTGGGGATCAAGCAGCCTCCAGAAACTCTTCTATAATTAACATTTAACGATTATGCAGAAACCCGGAGGCAAGCAGCTGTCTCCGCTTCTGCGGGAGAGGCCTGAGGGCAATAGGACATGAAGGCGAACTATTTAGAAACCCATCATCAGCCTAACTTTTCACGGACTTCTCACTTGTTCTAGCACGAGAGAGAGGTGCAAACGTCACCTTGGCACGATGGCAGCAGTTACATTTGTGGGAGGGACTGAAAAACACCCAGCTCCTGGGCCTATCCAAAACTGGCCCCTGACGCTAACGTGAGGTGCGTGAACAAGCTTCACCATGTTCAGGTCAAGGGCTGGCTGCTCTCAGCCAGGAGGAACCCGCAGCGGCGCGTGGACAGGACTTCACAGCACCCCCTGGTAAAGGACCATTCATTGACAGGGTGGGTGAGGAAAAGGCAGGAGCACACATTTCTGTCTGCACCTCAGCCCTGGTAATGCTTTAAAACAAATCCTGGAAAAAAAAAAATCACATCCAGATGCAACTTTAAAAATGTAAACTAGTAAAACATTAAGCCGTAAAATCAACATGAGTCAGCGGCTGAAGTAATGAACGAAGTGGCAGAGTTCAAGCAACTGCAGATACATAAGCAAGATTCTTCTCTTCCCAATTTAGAATGTATGTACTGAAAATCTGTTTAATACACCAACGGGTCCCTTTAAAACACAACTTTGGGCAGAACTCTTGCCCCTCACCCCTGAGCACTGAGAACTGATGAGATCCACTAGTCACTCTGCAGAATTCAAGGCTAAGTCTAACAAGCAGAGCAGTATCAATGTTGCTCCTGGCCTTAGTCACAGAAATACATTAGTGATCGTGGTGGCTAATTAAAATACGCTCTTTCCTATTAATGTAACATTAGCCTTTATATTTTAAACAGCCCACTTGATAATTTAATACACTCTTTATGCAATATTTATCCCTGTACCTTTGAGGCATCCCCAAAGCTGATGTGTTTTGGAAGGCTCTAAAAGGTAAAGCAATTTAAGATCTGGACCCACTTAGGTGCACAGCTGTTCCCAGTCAAGTCAATGAGCAACAGCATCCCACACTTTGTGTAGCAAGGACTTTCACTGAAAATATACATTTTAAGACTGAATTTCTACTAAAGGAAGGCTCTTTTGTAAACATTTAATAAGATCTGGGAATATAAAATGCTAGTATAAGGTCACTTAACCAAACGTGACCTGAACAGAGACAGACATGACCAACACGGTACAAGGTCTTTCCTTACACTTCCTGCTTTCAACGAGCAAAAAATAACCACTTACTGCAAATCTGAGGGACTGCCTCAGAAAATACTAGTGCCAAGGGATTTATCCTGTAAATGAACATGGGACAGGAATATTGTGACATAACTTCAGGAGGAAAACATCCACAGAAAATAAACCAAGCTCAGTAATTCTGCATTAGTTATAACTACGAGGATAATTGCTCTAATTTTGCAGATACTGCTAAGAATAATGGGAGAACCGTTCACTTCTTCGCAGTGCTTTGACAATTAAAATACGCTTCTGCTTCTCTCAAAACAAAGACCGAAGGAGACTGTCTGCCCTCAGAACAAGCGTGGGCCAGGGAGAGCCCACACGCATTCCCCTGTGCTGCCCAGCAGCCGGGCTGCAGCGCAGGGCAGGGGACATCGTCTCTGGTAGGGCAGGCTGCACCCCGCTGACGAGGCTGCCAAAATCAGTCACTCTCATGGCACTGGCCATTCACAAAGCAGGAATCAGAGTGAAACCTCAGTTCCGGCAGATCACCGGGCAGCCATGGGATTTCACTGGAATTTAAAAAAAAAAACCACCAACCCTAGATGTTACTATAGCCATTAAACAGTTTTTAAAATGATAGGAAATATTTATTTAAGAAAGCCTGCAGTTTGAGGCTCTGAGGTCTTATTAAATGCTTACAACAGAGCCTTCTTGTATTAGACGCTCAGTCTTTAAATGTATATTTTCTTTATTTTCAGTGAAAGTGCTTACTACACAAAGTGCTGGATGCTGTTGCTCACTGAGCAGGAACATCCTCACAGTTGCTTTATTTCCCCTTCCGAGTTACAAAAAAGTGCTAGAGAAAATTCTTTGCTCCTGGTCGCAGGCTCCAAACACCAATTGCGAGGATCCAGGTTCTGAAGTGGTAAAAGACCCTGCGTGAACGACACCACGGTCCGAAGGCACAGCCAGGATAGATTATAAAAGAGCACCTAGCTCTCATGACTTTGCATCACGGCAGCATGAGGGATTTTGCCAGTCTCATCCAGAACCATTTTTTGGTGCAAGGATTGGTGTAATCACAAATTGTAATGAACCGTAAGATGCTTGGAAACTCGTTCTTCATGGTTTTGCACTTGACTGGAATCAGCCGTTTGAGACGAGCACCTGAAAGACAGGTCACACAGGCAGAGGATTACACAGAGCCACAGTCAGATCCTGTATCCATTTTCTCCCCACAGCAGCACACACATCACAAGATCCAGGTCTGCTCCCGATTTTGTGTCATCTCGTTATAATGCAACTAGCTCTCACCCTGAAGAGCAAGTTTCTGAATCCCAAGCCCTCTGCTAAGAACATTTCACTCAAATACGTAGCAGGGCCCCATCTAGCATGCATCGGGCAGCTTGCAGTTTCTTGTGGAACGCAAACAGGAGTATAAGGTCCTGACTACTTCCAGGTGCGTATGAAGAGAAAATTGAGAGACTAAGCTCCTTCTAGATGGTCAGCTTTGCTGGGTTATCTCCAGTTCTTTTTCCTCCTACTGCGATTCACTCAGGCTGCAGACAGTACCCACCGATGACAAGGGGCTGCGAGGAATCACTCTGCTAACACAAACTGCTTTTTTTGAGGCATCAGACAACTCTCCCTGCGATTGCCACTCCTTGAAGGAGCAGCTCTTCTAAAGAGGAACCTCTCCCCTTACAATTCTCCATAGGGACACCCGCTACCAGCTAAACCGCCCAGTGCAAGTCATGACACTGAGACCTGGATGAGGCAAGAAACCAAGATTTCATAACGGCAGCAGATGCTTAAGTAATCTGTGGAGCTCCCAGAACTTGCCACCAAACCCTTCCACGTGTTAGTTACCCCACGCAAACAAGTTAACTCTGTGATTTCTGTAAGCCTGTACTTACACGCATGTTTTTACTGGTAGAGCTCAGGTCATTACAGATGGGCATTTCTTTTGCTGTCATTCTAATGAAAGGTATGATGCCAACAAAAAAACTGGTGAAGAACTAAAAGGACTTTGCTACCAATTTTGATGACTGGGGGCTGATGCAACATGCTAGGGGTGTTCAATGGATTAACGGCCATCGTATGAAATTATTGTGTCAAGGAAGACAGAGCCAGTTCCTAGCTCTGCCGCTGGCTTCCAGTTTAACCTCTGGCACGTCACTTATAATACCATGTCAGATACCTCATCTAGAAAAGAGACTTTACATGCAGACACTCCTACACTTATTACATATCCTCCATACTATTAGGCTGTGCTGCACTTACTCCCCAGCAACATACACAAGTGTAGGATAACTAGTGGTTAGAGAAAAGCAATCTGAACAGACTCGACAGAAGTAAATTGATGGCTTTTCAATTCAGAACAAAATATGTAACAGATTTTTCCAATCCAAGTTGAAGATTCATTCCATATTTTGTTTACCTATCCACAATACTCAAGGATCTCTGCAAAAAGCTGCGTGTTCATTACCTGCTGCCCTATTCCCAGCATTTACTCACACCCTGAATTTATTATAATACTTTTCTCTTTAGTAACGGATTTCCTGTATGGATCTTAAAGCACTTCACAGGCCTGACGTGCAGCTGCAACGTCTCTGAAGCAGGCAGCGTTAGCCCGCTTGACAGCTGGCGCACTGAAGCATAGCCAGCTAAGCTCCTCGCTCGCGGTCATGCAGAAGGTCAACGGCAGGGCAAGGAACCAAGTCCAGGTCCCTGCCTGCGCAACGAAAATATAAAACCTCCGTTAGTTTTAATGGCTGCTTCTAAAAGCGATAAATGTCTGTTTGCTTAGTGAAGGGCATTACACCCAGGGCAAGCCCTGTGCCTGGGTGGACTTTTCATACACGTGAAACCTAAGTCAGTGGTGAGAACACAGATCTGAGACCGAGTTACCGGTTCTGTAACTGTCAGTTATTTATTTTCTCCTTTCTCACCTGTATTTATCTAATCTGTTTAAACACATCTGAGACTACCCCTCATTCTGCATTTGTGCAGTGCCCAATAAGTACAGCACTGGTCTCAGCTGGAGATGTTACTGTAATAAAAATTGTAATGTTGATAAGCAATTTTAAATGGGGTATTTATGAGATCTTACCTGGGGAAAGACTAAGAGCAAATTTGGTCTGAAAATCACATTCATCACTTTCCAGGTAGTCATCTGAAATGACGACCACCATCCTCCGACACCTGAAGATAAAGCAGTCGGGAGAAAAAAAAATACAATGTCAACAGGGATACTTCTCATTCTCACTGGTAGAAGTATGTATTCCTTTGAATTGCTCCGGTGGAGAAAGGAACCCGCCAGCTGTGTTCCAGCAGGAATTAACTACAGGGCAAGGACTACAGATAGCTACGTTACACACAGAAACCTGATTACAGATACACACTCATATACTAAAAATGAAGAAATAGCAAAGTCCAGATTGTCTGTGCAATCTTTATTTGATCCTCTGTCTATATTTACAAACTATGCCATCTTAATTAGCTGCTTACATGCTGCCTTTATTGACTGAGCATAACCGGTACTTTTTAGTATTAGAATGAACTGGACAGAGCTTTACTGTACTCACATTACTGTGAATTCACCTTGTTTCATAAATTTGAGCTTTATTCTCCAATTTGTTGCTTACATTCATTTGAGGTGCCTGGTTGTAAACTACACGTTAGGCTCTTTATGGAAGGCTACGCTGTACAACAGCCAGGACAGTGAGGCCTTACACGGGTCTCTGTTAACGCCAAGCTACCTCCCTCTGAAAGGCTGATGTTTAAAACCCAAACACCTGCCTTGGGATTTTTGACTCCCTGTCTGGGGAGTTGCTTTTATGTCCCACAGCTCCCACCACGCCCGCGTCCCACAAGGATCCCTGAAGTCAGTGCCAGAGCCACCACCAGTGCTGTCCCCTCCAACTCCACGCTGCGAGGTGGAGCTTACTCAGCCTGGAGCTGTATTCATTTCCGGATCACCTCCAAGGATGCGACTGCAGGATATTCCAGCCAAGAGAAAAGGCATCAAACGTAAGCAGCATCACTACAGTGGCATCCTCCTTGTGAACGCAATGAGGCGACACGTTTGGGAATGCTCGAGTCTTCCTTCTGGAGCCAAGAGCATAAAACAAACCCCATAAAGACATCCTTGTGGATTTTTACTGCTTCACTGGCACCACGCTGCAGACATCACGGTAAAGTGAACCTAATGTTCCATTACACTCAGCTGTCCCAAACAGCCATGGTTCACTTACCTCCTTTCTATAAGTTCTCCGCTGATGGACCACACACATGTTCCTGGCAAGACATCCCGATCAAATACACAGAGCTTCAGTTTGAACTCTGTTTGCTCCAGCTCCCTGATCATCTCCTGGACAAACTGAAGGTCTTTCTGACAGTAGCAGATGAAGGCATCAAACATCTCTGTTCCGTTCCCTGAAACCATTAAAAATTTAGCTGTCGTCTTCTACTATAAATGAAGTTAACTCCTGTGGTGAACTTTCACTAGCTCCCACAGACTTTTGACTCAGAATCAGCTCTGACAGACAAGCTCTGGCCAAACTTGCGAAGGTAATTTAACATTTTACCGGACCAGCTACCCTTCGGCCCAGACTCCTGCCCATAACAGGGCTGACAGGAGGTAACACATGTCTGTGCCTTGACCGCTTTGTTTCACAGTCCAGGCTATTCGCATAAACCCACATTTGGTGGCAGTGGCTAGGGAAGGGTAGCTGAGATGCAGACGTGCAAAATCTGCAGAGGCAATAACATCCAGCCACAGGGAAGGGGGGGATGCACAGGCTGGGAAGAGCTGGAGGGAGCAGAGTACCCCAGAGGATGCAACTCAGTGCCCCGATGCTCCAGGATTTCACTGGGAGTTACGCATCTAAAATATCCTCGTGGCTCTGGGTCCTACTTCTCTAGTTCAGGTCACAGAGATTCAAACTTCCCAACCAAAATCCAGGAATGTCCTGACACCTGCTGTCTCCTGAGCTACGAGGTAGGCCTTGAAATTTGGACACTGATTTTTATGGCTAAGATGTCAAACTTGGGTACCTGAAGTCATATCCTAAGTAAATGGCCCTGTTTTCCAAAGACGTTAATGGCCGGCAGCTCTCGTTTATTTAGCACTTATCCAAATATTGAAGTGCTGTACTTTAAGGGCAACGTTTCTCATAATTCAGTGCCTTAATACTGCTGGATAGTTTCCCACTGTGTTATTTTTTTTCCATATCAATGTCACTACATATATTTTCAAGTTTTATGTCAGTTAAAGCCTGCCACAGTGAAAAAATAGGTCAGGCTCTAAAAGCTGCCGAGAAAAGTATCAACCCAGCAGGCAGAGCCAGCCCAAGAAGCATCCAGTCAAGCAGAAGGGTAACTGGCTGCCAGGTCAGTCAAACTGAGGGTACTGTTCTAGGGGCACAGCGCTAACTTGGGGGTCACATCAGGCAGAGCTGCCGTGTACAAACCCCAGCACATTGGTCTATGGACATTTGGGGTTAATCATGTCCCCACATACAGCAGAAGTGGCCGCCCAAAGTCGGACTGGCCAGAGGAGCATCTGAAGAGGTGAGCTGACACATCTCCATTCAGCCTCGGCTGCTGCTCCGTCTGTCACAGAACTTTATGGGATGTCCGCCTCCTCAGCCCGCAGCTGCACACGCAGCCCAGCATGCACGCATACGGCCGCGTGCACAGCTCGGCGCGGTTAGAAAGGCAGAAGGCTGCGCACGCAGCCCTGCAGGCATTTGCACACGCACATGGCTGCGCATGCAGAGCTGCACGCACATTTGCACATGCACATGGCTGTGCATGCAGAGCTGCACGCACAGCCCAGCAAGCACACACACAGAGAACTGTGCTTCCTCTCTCCCCCCCCTTCACACCCAGCCCTACTTCAAACCCTGCTTCCTTTTTGTTCAAGGTGGTTAAATCTGCTGAAGACAGGGCAGCGTAGCCAAGGCAATCGGCTCTGACATCCTTCCCCCTTGCCTCCAACCCACTGTGCTTTCAGCAGCTGTTGCTCTGCGCCAGGCTGTGCTAAGGGACACATTTCTGGGAAGTCTCCTCCCACGCGTGTCCAGTGGGCTCTCTGCCAGCCTGTTTCTGGGTACGGCGTTCCCTAGGGTCGCTTTTCCTCTCTGCCCCAGGGAACAGGAAAAATGAAAATGCCTGCAGATCACCAGCTAAAGCATTCTGGCCTAGGCTGTGAAAAGGCATGGGTAGTAATGAAAGCAAACAGGTTTTCTGCACTTCTCACGGGGATCTGCTACAGCTGAAGGCAATTCCAACATGAGGTATCACGCAGCAATGTAATCATGGGTGCTTACCGTACGGATCGTCCCTGGTGGTGATGCCCATCAGTTCTGAGGTCTTCGGCACACTGCTGTCTACTGCTGGCACTTGAAGCGGCTGGTCGGCCTGCTCCTGCTTCCTTTGTAAGTACTTCTTACAGTCCTCCTCTGCAAAAACACACAACCAATGCGAGAGGCTCCTGTGACGGTGGTTTTACACTGCTGGAGCTCTTTAGAAGAGGAATAGCTATTTCATGGATCAGGGATATTAGAGGGAAAACCCCTGTCTGGTTTTTGGTACCCGTTTATGGATCTGATGTCCCAGAATTTCTCTCACCCTTTTTTGAACTTCTTGATGCTGCCTCCACCACCTCCTCTAACAATTAATTCCTGAAGCTCACTCTTGCTGTGTAAAGAAGTACTTTCTTTTATTTATTTTAAATCAATCTCCTCCTATTATCCTCGGTTCTAGTATATCCCAGTACACTTTAAACAGCACGCACCATGTGCGTGACAGGTCTCAACTCTACTGCCTGCTCTCATTGTTACGCATTTTGGAGGATTTAAAATCATCAAATAATTGGGGGGGGATTCTCAATTAGAAGTCTTCATGTTGTCTTTTACTACTAAATATAGACACACATTAGCCGATTCACACCATCGGCCTTCGTCAGACAGACCTGCAGGTGACGAGTACATACACTCACCACATACAGGAGGACCATGTAAAGTTCTATGGAGCCCCTGAAATGGGCTTTATATTGTGCAACAACTAGTGCAGACCAGGTCTAACATCCTTAGCTCAGGCAGAGTAGGTGGGTACATCCCCTCTGGGATACCTGCAGGGCAAGCAGGCCTGTCACGTTCGCTGCTGTGAACTTCCCAAACAGGACAGTGATGGACACAGATCTATTATGAACAGATTTTGTTTAAAAATGAATGATAAATCTAAACGTAAAGTCTTTGGAGAAGTGACAAGAAACCCTGCAGCCTCTGTCACTCTGCAATATGCAATTACAGAAGAACTTGAAAGTAAAAGGAGATTTGAAACCAGGAATTAACAAAAAGATGAAACTCCCTAGAGCCCTCTCCTTTACTTAAAATTAAAGAAAACAAAACTACAAATATCAGTCAGAAAAGTACTGATCGCTCAGAGGGTTAGGCTGGCACAGCTACAGAGATCGCTGGTACAACAGCAGCAGCAGAGTAAAGGATCTCCTGGAAGCGCAGGATGCGGGTGGGAGCCCATATGCACTGCTGTAACACAGCCCTGACCAGGAACGAGCGGGTCTGCAGGACGCCCAGCTCCTGCTGCCCCTTCCTCTGCTTCTATCTCATCGTTTTGCATCTCCTGACTGGATTAGCCCCAAGCTAGTAAAGTGTCAGGTCTGATCAACGCTTTTCCCGAGGCTGAGGCATTCCCACTCTCCCCCTTCCTCCCCAGTCCTGCAGTGGAGAGAAGAATCGGCCGCGTTCTCTACCAGCCAGAAGGTTCAGATTTCAGGTCTTTCCTCACTAAAGCACAAACTCACGTCCCACCTCTCTGCCAGCTGCCTGTTGCCATGAGGTGTGTGCATTTCGTGTCCGGCAAGTCAGTGTCCTTGAAATCATGATTAAAGCCACTCTGAATTGGCCAATGGGTTCAGAAGTTCCACAGGAAGGACTAGCACGCAGGCACCACCTTACGTGTCCCTGGTTCCCTAGGTAGCCAGCTTCACAATCCAAAATATTGCTGAATAGGCAAGAGCAGGCAATTATTTAAAGGCATACCAATACTAGTGCTCAACACAGAAATGTTCATTTTAAGCGTCTTTGCTCCGTGTCTTCTCTCCTTGTTTCTCCCACCTGCAAAAGTGGCATCTGTGCTGGCCTGACCTGCGTTGTTTTAGATTGGTGCCCAGAGCTCATCACCACACCGCTCATGGCTGACACGCAACACTCATTAACGCAAGTGTTCTCCTGATTCAGCTAGTCACGCCTACCCACGCAGTTTTGATGGCATCATGCTGTAATCCCAGACCCCATTTATCCCTACAGGATAAACCTGAGGGCTGGGCAAAGTTTGCAAAACAAAACACCGGAGCCTCACAGTTTTATTACGAGTGCAAAGTGGGGGCCCTATCGCACTGAAAGCACCAACAGGTCCAGTGAACCTGAAAGGATGAAAGACATTCACTAATTTGGCACGGATTAGTCCCCAGTTGGGAACAGTGCCTGATTGTACAAGAAAAAGGGATGCAAACCCACACAAAGAAGTAGCGAGAAACTCCTCCAAGTTAAGTTGTCGCACTCCACCCAGCATCTAACACACACAAGTCCAGGCTTTACATTCCTCCAAGGGTCAAACAAAAGCCTGAGGTATTGGGGAGAAAGAATAAAACCATGAAACCTGAAGTGCCAAATGATTAGCATGATGAGAAGAGAGAGAAAACAGACCCAGTAACTGTCAAACGGGAAAGTACCACTTTTATAACAGGTCAGGAGGAAACAAAAATCATTTGAGTTTCAGCAGGAAAGAGTGAGCACAAACGTACCGAAGCAGAGAGCTTCACATCCCTACAGGCGATTGTACAACGAAATAAGCTGCTGGGAAAGATCACACGTAGGGCAGATCTGCCAGGATGGAAAAGCCGCATCCTCCAAGTATCTGTACCCCAGATAGTGGAACAGGGGAGCTGCTAAATACAGCCCTGCTGTACAGAGCAGCCAAAAGTGGAACTATTCAAGGCCGCAGAAGGTACCGATTTTTAGCATCCCAAGAATAGCCAGGAATGGAGCACGCGACGAGAAGACAGGGAACTGGTTCTGCAGTAGAAACCACAATCCAAACACGTCCTCTAGAGCCGCACAGCACCAACGAGTTGTGTTTAACAGGGGTGCTGCGTCCCAAAGGAGCCTGGCTCGTTTGCCCACACAAAGGCATCAGGTGTCACTTGAGAGATCCCAGAGTGTCCGAGACATTTGTTATGGGCTACCAGGTACGACACTGGACCTGTGGATGACCTGTGTCCATCAGGAGGTGGAGGCCCTGTGAGGTATCCTGAGGCCTCTCAAACGACTTGAGATGCCTTCGTGGGGGAAGCCGAATCGTGCCCCAGATCTGCACCTCCTATAATAAAAGCACAGACCACAGAAACCTCAATACTGATGTTTTCTGATTCTGAGCTGAATCCCACTGCAGGAGTCCTAACGGCGTAAAGAAAGATGCCCTTGGCATCAGGAAATACCGTGCATAAGAGTGCCTGCAATTGTCCGTTTCCTTCCCTCTTACGAGTTTAAATACCTCCAACTTCTGCAAGAGCTCGGAGCGCTAGCGACAGGTCACAGGCCCTAGCTGCAATCCTCAGCCAAAAATAATAAAAGAGAGGCATGGCCACGCTGGGTCAGGCCGAGGGTCCACCTACCCCAGCACCCTGCCTGCAGCAGTGGTCAGAAACAGATGCCATGGGGAGAACATGAGAATCAAACAAGCGTACAGTGATATTTTCCTGAAATAATCTATCTTTTCGGTATAATCTACAATCTATTTTTATAATCTATCTTTTGGACAATTTGCAGTTAAGGAATTTCTGAGTCAGAGGCAATATTTTTGTGTTGAATAGCCCTCAGTGGGTCCTTCTTCCACGAATTTATCCCTCTCTTCTTAGCAGCGTGACCCACCGCCGGGCTAAACTTGTGACTTTCCTGAAGCCCAGGTTCCTCCCACTCATCCTGCTGCTGTCTGTTCAGGCTCTGACGAAGACCGTCCACCACGTTCCCTTCCAGTGGGCCAGCTCCTGAATTCAGGGCCAGAAGAAGCCCAGGTGATGCCCAACGTTTTGTGAAGCCCCAGCTCTCTCGCACGGCTGGAAGCTTCTGCTATTTGTTACGAACCTCTGACCGGTGGATCACGAAGCGCACTGATTTTTTTGTCTTTCCCAAACCCGAACCTTCGGAGTGCGTTCTTGATTAGGAAGAACGGCAAGCGTATGGGGAAGTCCTCAATCACTTCTTGGTCAGGCTCTCTACATAGATGAATTTCTACATCTTCACTCATCTCCATGAGTAACAGGAAATGAGCTTTATTATTTCTTCATTACTAACCCGGTAAACTATATTATACAACACAGGACTCAGCGGAGCCTCTGCCTTTAGAAATCCTTCGGCAATGAATTTCCCCTTCTGATGACAGCTGGCTTCCCTCTGAATTTCTGTGACCATGAAGAATACGAAGAGTCTACAGAGAACAAGTTATCAAAACAGCACTAGGACCGTCATACTGCTCACTGACCTACCTCAATTTTTTTCAGTTTGCAAGGAAATTTTTTTCCCTTCCATTATCCAGTTAATTATCTTTCCCTTCCATTACCCACACATCCCTCATCTCTCCCTGCAAATACCTTCCTATCACACAGAGCCACACATCAGAATTTTCACACTGTCCCGTGTCCGTGCAAGCTGTCTCCTGGCTGACCTGGCCCACAGCGTCCTTTGACACGCAGAAATTTTATCAGTGAAGGTTGGGGATAAGACGAGGCTCCGGATTACTTTGCAGGGCTTACGGTTAGCAGAAATGAGGCTCCTATAAAAACACCGAGGAGGTCACTCCACAGTCTGGGAAGGGCTTTTCTTTCTGCACGGGATTTTTTCTTAACATCACCTCCCCGGACAGAGCAGCAAAGACCAACGCAAACAACATCCCCTCTCTCCCAGGCATCAAGGAAGCACCGAGCTCAGCCGGGCCCTGCTGTCGCAGAGGGCGGCAAGAGCTGCACGCAGCGTCCCGAAGAGAAACCCGAGCCCAGAGCCCTGGCGAAAGACACGGCCCCTCCCGCCCGGCCCACAGCAGCCCCACAGAGGGACGGGCAGGCTCGGCCCCGCTCCCCTACGAGCGCGGTTTGCGGGCGCTGCGGCAGACCCCCGCTGTCCGCTGT